TAGTAATTCTTAATTTCCTTATAATTAAAACAGAAACGACCACACGCTCTGAAAACTGGATGAGTTATTAATTTTAACGGCCTTTCTTGGTAGGTCAGTCATAACGACTTACCTGAATTTTTATGGGTGGACGTGGCCTATAATGGTTAGGCGTCCGAACCGTGAATCCGAAAACTCATGATTCACGGCTTTTTCCCGGAAAAAAAAACGTTCTGCACTTTGCGGATGTGGGTGCACTATAAGTGTTAGTCAATTAACTATGAGTTCAAATTTAGGGTCGGCTACCTGCAAACGGCCCTTTGTGTGGCTTGGCCCGAAATTATTTGAAAAAACCGTTTTAGACTATTTAACAAGAGGTTTATGAACTTTGTTGAAATCCGCGCAAAGCTACTCGAAGCCTATAATGCGCTAGTCGTCCCTAATTTTGACGTGAAGAACTAGGAGAAAAGCAGCCAGTCAACATTACTCACCGCTAACTATTGGGCTACTCTTTTACTCAAGAATAATGAAATTAACCATCACATTATAATACTCTCCACGGCTGAAAAGGGAGCGTATTAAGTGATAGGATTCGAACGCGCAATCCACAGCTTTATTAACACCCGTAAAGAAACAATCAAAATTAACTATGTATACTTATATGCATATATAATTTCTTTTGGACACTTAGCCTTATATCTGGAGAGATTACACCCAATTAAGGCTAGTGGTGTGACAAAAGTGATGACAAGTGATAAAGTTTCAGTACTTGATCAAATTTGACCTTTGGCCTAATATACGATTTTGAAGTTTTGTATTTGCGTGCATTAAAGAGAGTTAGAACAAGCTAAGATGAACACTGTTCGATGTTTTTATTTCTTCGACTGGCATATTGATTATAGATTTGATCACTTTATTTTAGGTCATGGACAAATATGATCAAATCTTCGACGAGTGGCACTGAACACAGCACTCACTCTACTGGAGATTGAAAACACTTGCTCTACTGTATGCAGCTACGTTCAAAGAGTTAGTATCATTATTTCAAGCTTTACATGTCGCGCAATACCCTGTATAGTCATGGCCGATGCTAGCAGGGGACAGGTCCCCTTAAAATATACATATGTCATATATACTATGTAGCTACGTTTAAAGAGTTAGTTTCATTATTTCAAGCTTTACATGTCGCGCAATACCCTGTATAGTCATGACCGATGCTAGCGGGGGACAGGTCCCCTTAAAATATACATATGTCATATATACTATGCAGCTACGTTCAAAGAGTTAGTTTCCTTATTTCAAGATTTACATGTCGCCAATACCCTGTATAGTCATGACCGATGCTAGCAGGGGACAGGTCCCCTTAAAATATACATATGTCATATATACACGATTTTATTCTTTATACAATAACAATATTCGTTAAAGTGGCAATAAATAAAATTTTACCAAGGTAGATGTCGCTCTTAAATCAAAAGCTCAATGTTATAGTCCTTAAAAAAGCCTTCCGAAACTGGAGACCAAATAAATATGTACCTTAAAAAGTGGTTTTCATGAATAATATATATATATTTCCGTGAATATAATGACAAACAAAATCGGTAAGTATCGAATAAGCATCAGCGTGAGTTTGGACCTCGACCATCAAATTTGGTAACCGATGTTATTAATCAGTGACCTAGGTTACCACAAGACACCAGCAATGTTCACAGTATAACGCCGCATGTTAGTATAAAATGTTTTATTATGTGTGCGTATGTCTGTTAGCAGCCCTCACCGAGATTTTGCTGGCTCAATTGCTGTAATGTTTGGTATGGTAATTGAAAATTGTTAGATGATGATGTACATAGGTTATCTTATTTAAGAATTATTGCCCGAGAAAGGAGATAAAAATGCCCCTGACGTAAGGCACATTTCCACAAGTACTCAGTCAGTGAAATAAGACAACTACTACCTTCCACATGGCAGGATATGCAATCTGATGAGGTCATTAGGAATTAATAACAAAAGAAAGAAAGAAGGGGAACGTTATCTAACATTGTTCTTATAATATTTTTCCTTCTTTAAGAAGAACCTTTAAAAACTATAACGAGCATAACACACACACACAAAAACATTTTTTGTATTTTGTCTTAGGCCCAATTCACGTTCCAGCCTCTAACCTAATTGCTGATCTCAGTCCGTGTTCAACATCATACGCACTCTTAAGACGTCTTTTTTAATGTCCTCTACGTCCTTTTCTCGTGCTTCTGTGACCTTAAAAGGTACAGTGTAGTATGATGTTGAAAGATTTAAATATTTGCAACCACTTTGCTATGTCAAAACGGCAGGGACTCTATACTTCCCTTGTAATGTCAAAACAGCAGGGACTCTATACTTCCCTTGTATATTTGACTGCATCTGCATTACTCTGCAACAGTCGTACGAACTAGGCCTCACTATACGAGGCTTAATGACATTATATAGTTTTCACAGTGGCGACGTCAGGGGAAGACAAAGCGTACTCTAAATATTTGTCATCCCCCCATTAAATACTAAAACTCACAAAACATACCACATTTTCACGAAATATCATCCAATCCCTGGTAAGAACCATCACCTAGGCAGCCAATGAGAGCAAGAACTGAACAGTTGAAAGCTACTCATTATACGTTCTCTTTATGAAAACATTCTGCTTTAGAGCTTCCTAATTCACATACTATGATTCTTCCCTCGTTCTTTTAAAATAAAATAAAAGCATTTTGCTCATCAAACTCCGCCACTATTTTCAGAAATCTGGAGTCACCACTGAACTTCATAATGGTGTGATGAGTTGTAAAATATTTTGATCACTCCAGAATCGAGGATAAGACCTTAGGTTTGGCATTACTCATCTTTAATGTTAACCCTTAAAGGATAAGCTTATCATTGAAGAGGATGTTTATCATATATCCGGGTTTTATTTATAGGTTTTATCAGTTTTGCTTAAGCCTTGACATGAAAAAAAAAAAGGGGGGAAGTGAAAGTTTTATTTGCTCAAATACGAAGTATGTTTTCACACATTTATGTGGCAGCTATAAAGTAAACCCTATATTTAAAATGATTATATTTTAAATAGTAATTATTCTAGATCAACGAAATTGTACCAGATACACACACTGAGAATCCCAGTAGAGTGCCTTTAAAAATCATGTTATATAGCATATCTAAAAACAGCATACCAAATTTATATCAGACTTGCATGTTGTATTACACCTTGAGAAGGGTCTGAAATTTATTAAGTTTAAGGTGGACAATCTATTATATTTGTAGGCAAAAATTGTACTAGATTTGTGGTCCACAGTTCCTAAATTTGTATTTTAAAAATATTTGATTTTTAGTACAAAACACAGAACACTATGAGTTGACCTTATTACACATGGAGTCCTACAAAAATAACCGATTAAAACACTCTCACTCTTCAGCCAGGAACATAAAACTTTACCTGATAGCATTATATCAATCATATATTTTGTTGAGACTAGAGCTGTATGACAATCACATAATATATTCACTTATGCTGGTAAGACAGGTAATCAAAACGTAAACAAACTGTAGAAGTCTATAATGTTATCATAATCTCACCTTTCGACAAGTAACTTATTGATAAGTTAACGGAACTGAGCTAATTTTAATCATTGTGAATAATAAGGTATTCATAAAATAATCAAAAGGAATGAGTGGTTTCTAGGGTAGGGGAAGGGAATTCTTGTCTCATCCTTCTCAATATCCGGAAGCCATAGTAGCTATATCAGTATATATGACGATAGAAAGTTTTATTAAAAAAATTAAATAATCGAACAATGAAACCATTATTTAGAAGGAACATTAATCAAACAATGTAACATGTTCTGTCATTGGGCAGGTTCTTTTGGATTACTTGTTAAAAATATTGCCAAGTCCAGTTTATATAATGATAATAATGAATTTACAGCCATGTTCACTTGTAGGCCTAATATCATAAACAAACTTTTCAACATAAACTCTGCAACTATATTTTGGCCCAAGTTAAAACACAATATTCCAAATATAAACTGTGAGCTGTTTGCCTAGATTATAAAATGTCATAATACCAGCCACCTTTATCAGATCATCTAATAATAAATTTTTTTTTACTGCAATACCTTTTTTGTTATAAATACTGAATTATCTACACAGTTATTTCTTCAGCAGCAACTATTAAACTTAACTTAAATAATTAATATGCTGAACACTTACCTGGTTGCTGTCTCACCAAGCTTAGACTATGACTACAAACTGTATTACGATGTGTATGTGGCTTAAAATCCTGTAATTAGTTGTACAATGCATAGGTCAGGGGTCATGTGACAGACTAGGATAGTACTAGAGTTCTTTTGTATTAAACATGATTTTATCCTATTTTTGTCTACTTGTTACTGCACAGTCTACTCAAGGACAGAATTGTCTACCAGTATCATATACACCAACGTGGACTTGAAATCATTAAAAAACAAATATTTTCCGCACCTCGGTATCTTATTTTCATAAAATCTGAACAGAAACAAAAAGCAAAACTTAAAATTATGTAAACAGAAATGAAATATTTTGTATTAATTAAAATGACATTTAAATCAGCTCAAAAATAAATAACTTAATGCAAAACCAAAAAAAAGACTAGGTCACAGTCATAATTCTCCCTTTACGTGTCCGACTGACTGTACTTAATCATTACATGTTTTGAATGTAATTACCTATTCACCAGCAAGACTGAGCTACCACCAGTCTGTAAAAATCTTCTGTAAATTAAATCATAATTCTGCTCTTTCTGATAACAGAAAGAGCAATACTGTTATATCTAATGATTAGGCCTAATGCAAGTTTCTACCACATAAAATGAATGATGAAGTCCATATAATTAACATACATAGATGTAAACATAATGTGCTCTCTTGTAGAAGACTTGTACTCGGTAACCGTATATTTAGATATGACATAATTTCCTGCATGAGGCACACAGACACATTATTCACTTACTCACCTACATTTAAAAAAAACTAACGGAAGTGGCTTCCTTTCCTAACGTGTAGTTAAAACAATGTCATCCATTTCAGCCAATGTTTTGATCTTCTAGTTTCTTCAGGGTAATCCATAGTTAATCACTTAGCAGCCTAAGACAAAAAGGATCAAATAAGAATCAAAAATGATAATTATTATTTCAACAGTTCCTCCCTTCCCTCCAACTTAAAACTAGGAAGACTTAATTAATGTAGTTAAAGTTAAAATCTCAGAACCAGGAATGCTTAGAGCATCAAACATTATAGCTTCTCAAACTCATGAACTGGGACTGCTTAAACATCATATTAGAGCTTCTCACCAAACTCATGAATTGGGACTACTTAGAGCATCAAACATTATAGCTTCTCAAACTCATGAACTGGAACATTACATATTAGAGCTTCTCACCAAACTCATGAACTGGGACTGCTTAGAGCATCATATATTATAGCTTCTCACCAAACTCATGAACTGGGACAATATATATTAGAGCTTCTCATCAAACTCATGAACTGGGACATTATATATTAGAGCTTCTCATCAAACTCATGAACTGGGACATTATATATTAGAGCTTCTCACCAAACTCATCAACTAGGACTGCTTAGAGCATTATATATATATTAGAGCTTCTCACCAAACTTATGAATTAAAACTGATTAAGTACCATACATTACAGCTTCTCAAACTCATGAACTGGGACTGCTTAGAACATCATATATTATAGCTTCTCACCAAACTCATGAACCAGGACTGCTTAAGTATCATACAGCACAGTTAACCACACTTCAGAAATAGGGAGCTTAGTATAGTACATCATAGTTACTCAGCAACTCAGAGCTAGGACTACTTACAGTATTATACATCATAATTACTTACCCACTTAGACGTAGGACTACTTACAGTATTATACATCATGATTACTCACACACTTAGACGTAGGACTACTTACAATATTATACATCATAGTTACTCATCCACTTTGACGTAAGACTACTTACAGTATTATACATCATAATTATGACTCACCCACTTAGATGTACGACTACTTACAGCATTATACATCATAATTATTACCCACTTAGACGTAAGACTACTTACAGTATTATACATCATAATTATTACTCACTTAGACGTAAAACTACTTACAGTATTATACATCATAATTATTACTCACTTAGATGTATGACTACTTACAGCATTATACATCATAATTATTACCCACTTAGATGTATGACTACTTACAGTATTATACATCATAATTATTACTCACTTAGACATAAAACTACTTACAGTATTATACATCATAATTATTACTTACCCACGTAGATGTATGACTACTTACAGTATTATACATCATAACTATTACTCACCCACTTAGACGTAAGACTACTTACAGCATTATACATCATAATTATTACCCACTTAGATGTATGACTACTTACAGTATTATACATCATAATTATGACTCACCCACTTAGACGTAAGACTACTTACAGTATTATACATCATCATTATGACTCACCCACTTAGACGTAAGACTACTTACAGTATTAATACATCACAATTACCAACTCAGAACTAGGAATACTTACAGTATTATATATCATAATTACTCACACACTTAGACGTGGGACTACTTACAGTATTAATACATCACAGTTACCAACTCAGAACTAGGAATACTTACAGTATTAATACATCACAGTCACCATCTCAGAACCAGGACTACTTACAGTATTAATACATCACAGTTACCAACTCAGAACTAGGACTACTTACAGTATTAATACATCACAGTTACCATCTCAGAACTAGGACTAATTACCAGTATTAATACATCACAGTCACCAACTCAGAACTAGG